TGTACAATACATTATGCAGTATGTACATGTACATACATTATGCAGGATATAATGCAGTATGTACATGTACAGTACATTATGCAGTATGTACATGTACAGTACATTATACAGGACATAATGCAGTATGTACATGTACATACAGTATGCATACTTTGCATTTTATGGCTGCCTATTGTTGTGTGTACCTCATCTGAGGTTTTGTTTAAAACTGGTCTCTCTTGTAAAATGAGTCCTTGTGACTCGATGAGACCAACCTGAGTAAATAAACATTGAATGAATAGTTTGTGAACAATAAGGAATTAAAAAATAAAATGATTTTTTTTTATTAAGGATTTAAATGAAAAAAACACAATAACCGTAAATGCTAGTTTGTCTGAATAATGACAACAGGTCTACGGTAAGTTGAACAGAAATACCGGTAAATGTTGTAATGCAGAAAGTAAATGTCCTCATGAATGCAGTGTCTCAGGAAGTTTTTATACGAATATATTTACGTAAAAGAGACTAGATGTATTGAGTTGCGCGTGTTGTACTTCCTCACCACAGCATGAAAAACGAACTGTTATGGTTTCTGTTTGGCGTTCGGCTCTTTGACCACATTTTCTGAATTGTTTCTGTGGGCGTCCTTGACTGTCTGCTTTCAAATCAGACTAGACCTTTCCTGTTTTAAATAACTTCTCATTCTTTAAATATAAATATTTCAAAGGTCCAAATAACACGTAAGAAATTGTTCTTCTAAATTTCAAGTTTACGTGCTTGGCCGTGTCGCTTTTCAAGTGTTGGGCTTGGGTCAAACACTTCGGGTTCCTCCTGACAGAACGGGTGGAGCTGAGTCCGTTTGACACGTCCCTGTTGGGCTCTGCCCGCAGGTTCTCTGGGAGGTCAGGACTCTGTGACGGCCGTAGGGTCGTTGTCCATTTGGAAGACCCATTTGTGCCCAAGCATACACTTCCTGGTTGAGATGTTGCTTCAGAATTTCCACCTGATGTTGTTTCCTCAGGATCTGCTTTGTGAAGCTCACCACTCCCTCCAGCAGCAGAACACCCTCACAACATGATGCTACCTCCCCCGTACTTCACAGTTACAATAGTGATTCTGATTAAACCGTTCAGTTTTACTTCCAGCTGACATTTTTATGTTTATACTTATAACTCTCTGCCTGATATCTTCTTTTAATTTCCCCGTGATGCCGCACAAAGAAGCAGCGTTTGAGGTGTGCCTCCAATTAGCTCAGATGTAGTCAGCCAATCCAAAGCTACCAAAGCCATGACGTCATCGTCTGGGCTTTAACAAACGGTTTCAGCTTGTGACTCTGAAGATTATCTCTCATTATTAGAGCTTTTTAACAAATATAAATAATTTTGGGACCTAAAACAGAAAAGGTTTGACCTGATTCAGTCGCTGACTGAAAACTTTGCTCATACAGTGTATGTAAACATTTGGTTGCAGCTGTAAGTGATCTTTTCAAACACAAAATGGCCGTAGCTCGGTCAGTTTTACAGATGTTAGGCTAAAGCTTGGTGTTCAGCACACGGCTGAGTCTAAAGCAGTCGTGATCCTGATTACATAATCCAAGATGTTTCCCAGTCGCCGGTGCATCTGGAGACGGTTTGAAGTTTCTCCAGGCTGTTTCTAACAGAAGACCTTGTCATTCGATGGTTTGTCCCAGATTCTCCGTTGTATCTAAACAGGCCCGCTGGATGTTTACCAGATTTCTCTTTTTTTAATGAACTCCAGGCGTTAAATCTTGAATGTGCAGGTATGTTTTTATATTTTTAACGTGCTCGTAACTGATGGACTTGCACAGGAAGTGAGCTCAGCAGACAGTTTCCCTGGAGGCTCTGAGGAAGTTGAGACGTTTAAGGTTTACGTGGCACTTTTCCAAACCCTTATCAAAAGAACCCTTTGCTTTTTCCTTTCAGTTTGTTGGATGCACTGTAACACTGCTGTCTGATGTTTCCTGCACTAACTCTTTATTTTGTGTAATTAAAGACAAACTGAAGCCCATTTTTGTCCTATCTTTTTATATATTTCTGATCCTGACAGCAGGGACGAACTGTTTGTGAGATTCTGAGTGGGGTTGAAGCGGCTCGGAACATTCTTTTGTCACGGAGCAGTCGGAGCGAGAAGATTAAGTCCTGAAAACAGGATCAGATTTCTGAGCTCAGCTCTCCCGTGTTTCCGACTCACGGCTCCATGATTTCCTCCGAGCGCTTCTGGTGTTGCTCCTCACGTCGTTTTGCTTTTGTTCTTCCAGGTCTCCCTAAAGGACGCAGCAGGTGCAGTGTCATGGGCAGAGAACGTGATTGCACCACACGTAGAACAAACTCAGGAGCCCTGCCTGAACCGCCAAGCACAAAATGACTCAGCAGAATGGAATCGGAGCCTCGACCGACCACCGTGTCCACTCGGAGGCCTCCAAGGCCTTGGAGTCGGCCAACGGTGTGGAGTTCGACGAGGTGCAGGAGGTCACTGAGACTGAGGAGGGGGGGAAGGGGGGCGAAAGCCAAGACCCTGTGGTTGTAGCAGGGGCAGCTGCAGCTCCTGATGGTGGTTGGGGCTGGGTGGTGCTGGCTAGCACCATCCTGGTCTTGTCTTTGACTCTGGGTTTACCAGCCAGCATGGGAATCTTCTTCACCGACCTGCAGAACGAGTTTCTGGCGTCCAACAGCGAGACGTCCTGGGTGACGTCCATCATGACGTCAGCGCTCCACGCAGGAGGTAAACCTGACAGATCCCCTTTACATCCTAACTGGCCTTCATAATGAGCACGTTGAAAGAAACTAAACTAAATCACATTTTCAGTGACAATAATCCGATTTAAAATGATTATTTTGTAGTTTTGCAGACATTAGTTATAAATAAAGTCCTAATAATTACAATCTACACATGTATATTTTTACATACCTGTATTTTCCGCTGTAAACGTTGCACCGCCCTATAAGTCGCATCAGTTCAAATACGTCTAATAAAGTGGAAAAATCCATAAATACGTCGCATCTATTACGCGTCACCGCTGACCACCTGGAAATGTGGGCCGGTGTTGTGCCAAAAATCGATTGGCTGCCAAATGGCGGCTGCAGGGGAGTGCATGGGAGGACTTTAACAAGAATTTAACAAGATTAACACTTAAAAACAATTATATGTTTACTCAAAAATTATAATAAAGAAGTGTCTCAGTCTAACTTTCCATTAATAAATGCACTTCAACGGTCAAATCAGCTTCATTTTGCCGGGCGATGCAGCGAAATGAAGCTGACTTGATGGTTGCTCCAGGCAGACGACGGTGGCAGGCTGTGGCAATCTGATTATGTCATTAATAGCCACTTTTACCTACCGGTATTACATGACACAACGGCATGCCATACTACTCGAGTGCCATCTAGTGGCTGAAAATGGTAGTGTTCAATATTTTCAGTCAGAATGAATGAAAACGGTCATATCTCAGCCAAACATTGGATTATAAAGATGGGAAAAAAATCCATAAATACGTTGCTTCAGCATATAAGTCATGCAAATTATGCCAAAAAACGCGACTTATTGGGCGAAAAATACAACATGTGTCGTTTCAATTGTTCTTTAATGCCCTTACATGATTGTATAAATGTTGTTATTATCCAGGGAAGCTGTGAAAGCTGAGAGGGGGAATTCAAGGTCGTTTTGAGCCGCCTTGCTGTGTTTTTGTTGGTTTAGACCAGATTATTTCTTGAGAAAATGCAGGCTGCTCATTTCCCACAACCAGAGGTGTAACAATCCTCAGTTTAAACCAACGCTGTGTTACTCCTAAATCATTTAATCCCACTCCATTTTCTAAATATACCATACCACTTAAAAGATAACAAGGACAACTAAACTGCCACACAATAAAACAGCCAAGCACAGGACAAATGATAAAATAAATGCATTAATCTAAAAGATAAGTAAAATAAATGCAACAACTATAACGGGTCAATGAAAGATCTCACTGGGTCAGAGGCTAGGGAGTTAAAGTAAGGTTTTAAACAAGATTTAAAATCAACAAGGGAGGCCTAACGAGCCATGGCGAATTATTCCAGGGTTTTGGAGCTGAAACAGAAAGAGCTCGATCACCTCTGAGCTCGCCTCTCGTCCCTGGAGCCGTTAAAAGCATCTGCTAACCTCAGAGCGTGGCGGTACATGTGGGTGCAGCAGCCCGGAGAGATAAGACCGGCGCAACGGTTACCAGACTCAAAACAAACAGTTTCAAACTGAATTTGAAGGTGAACTGGATGTTAGGGAAAGAAATGAACTGGGGAAAGGCGATCTTTTTCCTGTACCAAATAAAAATGGAGCTGCTGTGTTTTGAACCAGTTGCATTGAGCAACTTGGCTAAATCTGAAAAGAAGAACACTGCCATAATTTAAGTAAAATAGTTTCCTAAACAGTTCAAAAATTACATTTAGATCAGGTTTAGGGTCTTTGCAGCACACTGATTTTTATCTATCAAGGCCACCGCAGATACTTCAGTTCAATAAAAATATTAGATGTGGATTTATTTTGAGAAACATCAGATTTATTTTATATTTAAGTCCAGTTTCTGAGTCATTAAACTACAAAGTGTGAAGAAATGAAAGTAATGCATATAAAAAATAATTAAAGCTATTAATTTGTTTGGCGTGACTAGTTTATATAAGCTAAAGATCATGTCATAAAAAATAATCAACACCATCATCAGTCAATTTAAGAAGTATTTGAGAATCTGCAACGCTGGGATCTTTGTGTTCTATTGACACGTACAGCTGAATGTCATCTGCGTAAAATGTGATATTAGCCTGTTATGGTGTCCAATAGGAAGAACATGAAACAGAGCTTGGTGACTAATTTTCCAAAAAAGACCACATGAAGAACTGGGTCTGTTGCAAAGAGCTGGACTAAAGGGTTAAATACATTCTGCCAAATATGAATTTTATTATTAGCTACAAATACAATGTTATTAATTAGCTGCTAATGGTACACAATAGATACAGGTAAAAATAGACGAGTTTAGTTTAGTAATTTTAAAGTTTACATTTATTGTAAATGAACATTCACATGAGTTTAAAAAAAAAACTTAATTTGTGGGATTTCATGTAGTTTAGATTGTTTCATTTCTGTATATGTAAATCTGTGTTAAAAAAAGTCTTGTTGATTTTAAAAACTATCAGCCTTTTTGTAGCGTGGATTGACATGATGGCAACTCCTGGATATTTCATTTACTCTTGTTGCTACTAGCGTGCACACAAGGTGGCTGACAGAAAAATCACAACACCTTCAAAATACAAAGTAAAAAAAACGTAAAGGCTATTTTGTTTTAAATAAATACTGGTTTTGGCTTGAAATAAACAATAATTTATAAATTGTTTATGATTTTCCAATGACCTCCAACCTGTGGGCTGGGAAATGCTCAGGTCTGATCTAATTGAGGAACATAGGGGTACCGAGGACTGACCTCTGTGGTACACCACAAGTCAAGTGTTTACCTTTTTAATGCTTTTAATCCATCTTAACATGCATAAAAACTTTTTTTTTAGTTTTGTCATTTGACTATTTTTGATTTGAATCATTAGTAAAAAAAAAAGTTCTAACAAAACAAGAACAGATGAGTTTGTGAAAAATCAAACTGTTCAGTGAGTCTCCATTATTTCCTGTGAATCTTTTATGTGTTGATAAAGTCAGAGAATGTGGAGAAACTGTTTTAATCTGTAGCTGATGTCGTGAAACTAGCTTTGGAAGGCTTTCCATTCTCAGTCCTGCGCAGGCTTGTAGAGTTTTCAGAGAATAGTTTGTTCAGTCGATATTGACTATTGACTTCCTCATTTTTCACGATTTCTTACAAGCTCTGTAAAACATTAAACAGGGTGGGAGTTCATGGCTCAGTGAGGACATTTAAAGTCAACATGAAAATAAAGGTGAATGTCAGACACCAAACCTTTAATGATATATTTCTGAATTTCTTTGTTCTACAGCATTATGCTTGTTTATGACTAGATTTACACGCTGATGAATGTTGGTTTCCCTCAACCCAGTTTGACCTGATGCAGCACATATGTTTTATACCTTTTTATCCTAAAGCACAATAATACCCTAAAGACAAGGCAGTTGTTATAATATAACTCAATATTGATAAAATGCCAGTAATTTACATTGAAAGCAGAAGGTTTGACCTTGTTTTCCTTTATTTGTACATTAGTATAATTGAGACACAATTATTCATTTGCTAGAGGGAACTGTTATGTGCAAATAAAGCAATACAGTCAATTAAAAATGTATTATATATAAATAAAAATACAACTATATTAAATTTTTAAAATGTAAGCTGCACTAACATAAAAATAACAACAATGGGAAAAACTCATTAAAAGCACGTGCAAATGTTTGTGAATGAGATTTCCAGTTCTTTTAATTGAAAGTTTAAATTTCTCAAGCGTAATGAGACTGGACAGCTTCTGATCCCGCTGAATCATGTTCCAACCGGATGGGCCTGGATAAAAACGGCTTCTTAGCCAGCTCCATCGTGGAACGCTGTAGGAGATAAAAGCCGAAGAGCGAAGGCAGCAATGTTGTCATTTACAAGTTGTCTAACAAGACAAATGTGATGGAACCAGACAGAGGATGGATTTGTGACCCGATGTAAAAGCCTGCGGCTGTGCAACAACGGCCAATTAACTAAAATGCAATGATGATTGAGAGATTTCTTGTCTAATGAATCTCAAAGCTCCGGGGTAGACCGTGTCCAACAGGCATAAAGAGCTGGCAGAGGCGTTCATAGACACGATATCTCCATAGTCTGAGAGCCAGCTGTTTCTCTGTACGACATAAAAAACAAATCTTTTACCGAAAATGGAACCCTAATTTTATCTTATTCTTCAGCAGATTGTTAATTTGAGGCTTAAATGACAGGTCTTCGCTTTGTTAATCCAAAATGTTTAAATGATGCAACAAAGTCAATGGATAACCCCTGTGTTGTGGTAATAGTGGGGAGGGTAGATGACACATTGTCGTACTGGCATTTAGCATCAGCCTGAGTTATAAAAGCTGGGATTGAAAGCAACCAAAGCAGACTGCAAACGCTTAAAGACAAGAGTGTCTGTATTTGCACGGCAGTAAATAACTGAGTCGTCTGCGTAGAATGTCACAGATTCAAGGATTCAGAGCCAAACCCAGGTAAACAGTGGAGTGTTGGTACTAAAATTGACCCTTTTGGGGATTTCCAGGTGACTTGCTGTCTGACCACTAAACTGCACTCACTGCCAACATCTCAATCAGTACTTTAAAAAACAATGTAGGTTAGTCCTCTGTCCAAAAGCCTCCGACACAAAATCCTGTGTCCAACAGGGTCAAAAGCCTTGGATAGATTTATAAAAAAGGGCAGCACAGTAATCTTTGGTATCAAAGGCTTCAACGACATCATTTAGGACAGTAACTGACCTTTTTTATTTTTCTATTTCTAAAACCAGACTAATAAGGTGATAAACTTTTATTAAACATAAGTACCGGTAGTCCTTAAGTTGTCAAAAGGTTTTCTGTCTTCAGAAATGAAATGTCTGAAGCTTTTCCATGAAAACGTTTTTGAAGTCTTTGCAAATTAACCCTTAGATTGCAGTGGGTTAAAACCAGTTGTCCCTTTATCTTAAGAGAAAAACCCACCAAAAACAGTCAGTACTGGTTTGTGCCGTCATAATGCAGGTCCAACCTGAATTCCTCCTCTTTGACCTCTCTTGCTTTTGGTCAAAACACGACCCAAATTTACACCATGCTGGACAAGAACTTCTTGTTTGTCCAGCAGCTACTTCGCTTCCAATTTTTCCTGTTTGAGGAATTCCTTTAAAGACCCGTCCAAACTGCTCCAACCCTGTCATTTTTCAACACGAAATTAGTCTAATCATGCATTCCCTGAAGGCAACGTTTCTACAGAGGCACAAACTGAGGTATTTAAAACAAAGGGCTGCATAGAGAAATGGAAATTAAATTCTTATTAAGGCAGATAATCTGGCAGATTTTTTTTCAGGCTTTTTGCTGTTGTATCATAGTTAGCATGCTTGATAAAAATATGCTTCTCCAATACCCTTTAGGAATATAAGACATACTTTATGTAAACTGCCTCATGTGACAACGTATTTGTGTGCTTAAATACCGGTATGCACACGCACAAAAAAAAAGTATACATTTGCATTTTGAAATTTTTAAGTTTCAGTCTAGATATGGAAGCACAACTTCAAACAAAGTTTTAGCTAATCTTAATCCAGATTGGGGGGGTGGGGGGTGTATTTGCCCAACATTTTTAAGTTTAGACTCACAGTATTTTCTGGCGTATAAGTCGTTCCGGAGTACAAGTCGCATCAGTCAAAAAAAGCATCATGAAGAGGAAAAAACATATATAAGTTGCATTTATTGTGCATTTATTTAATGGTCAAAACCTGGGCGGCGCGGCACCATCGCAGCCGGAGCTGCTAGCTCTTAGAAATTAAACAAGATTAACACTTAAAAACAATTGTTTGTTTGCTCGACGTTATAGCAAAGGTGCGTCTCAGTTTAACTTTTCTTTAATAAATGCACTTCAATGGTCAAAACAGCTTCATTTCACCTGGGCGGCGTGGCGCCATCCATCCATCAATTGCAGCCGGAGCTGCTAGCTCTCCAGCGTTCCTCCGCCTGCACCACCTGAGTGAAGCGAGCGCGCACGGGAGGACTCGCTGTTGCAGTTCTTAGAAATTTAAAGTGTCGGTCAAGAAATATGTTATGAATAGGGGTGCACCGATGAATCAATCGGCCGATTTATCTGCCCCAATTTCCTTAATTTTGGGAAATTGTCCGATACATGAGAAACCGATTTTACAGATTTTTTCTTTGTTTTAACAACAATTGTCTAAACTTCATTTATATTTCAGAGCACTACCTCATGGCCAGTTAAAACAAGTTTGTATTGTTTCTAGGATATTGATCAAGGATATGTTTTTCAATAAAATAAGATTGGAAAATCGAAGGTGCATTGTGACCTTATAACTCCTGACAGTGTCGCTTCTAAAATGAAATTGGAGTCGGCAGGTCAGACTTTTTAGAGATCGTTGATCAGCCAGAAAACTGCACCCCAGTTATGAACATAGGAAAAAAAAACATACAAGTCGCTTCGGCGTATAAGTCGTAGGACGGACAAATCTATGCAAAAAAGCTGCGCCTTATACGCTGGAAAATACGGTAAGTTTCAGTGAAAAAATGCAAGACTTAACTTCTTTAAAGGTCATTTCCCAGTAGGTATATTGGGGGCCGGGTGGAGCTTGTCCAACGGCCACCTTTAGCCCTCTGGCCATATGTTGCCCACATCTACCTTAAGAAACCTCTGCTTTTAATTACTATTTAAAATGAGTATTGTTCAGTATGTTTTACACATTTACATCACATAAAATTATTCATTACCGGCAGTTCTCTTTATTGGAGGCAGCTGTCAGAACGGCACCGATCACAGGTTTTCTCGAGGAGACAAAGACGTTTTTCATATTCGACATAGAGCTGCTTACATTTATTTCTTTGGGATTTGCATGTGATGCTTGCACAAAGCGTGGTGCTATGTGCCCAAATCTGCCGTTTTTAGGGGGAAATTAACGAGTTTTGTGCTCAAAGTGCAGCACATCTCGACTATTTGTGTCACCCAACCTCCTGATTTCAAAGGATTTTAGATTCAAACGATGTTCATGTGTCGAAAAATAAAAAGCAGAAGTATTGCTTTTCCATTGTGTTTATTTTATAAACATGTACACAGACTTTTTAAATTTTTCTTTTTGGCTCCTGGTCTCAGACGCAAGAGAAAATTACTTTTTTATGTTGTCAAAATTAATTACAATGCAAAGATAAAGAGTCCTGGTTTCATCAGCTTCTTGTCACAGCACTGTGAAGACTTTATTTAGTGCAAATGACAGTTTAATCGTATTCAAATGTAGAAACAGATAATCTGTCATAAAGTCTAGAGTCCAGCTCCAGTTCTTAACTGTCTCAGATTGTTTTGGGTTTTCACCAAACTGGAGGTCCCCTGCGCTCCAAGACTGAAGGTTTGAAACCAGTACGGTAATTAAGGACTTCAGGAACAAGAATACTTTTGAGTTTTCAATTGATTTTATCTGAGCAAAATTTGACTAAATGTGGTTTATTATGTTCAGCCACTTCTTTGCCAGTTTTCTGAATGAAAGGTTTAGCAGCAGTCATACGGCATAAGGCTTCACGTGATTTAAAACTCTCAAATTTACTTTGATGTTTTCAAGGCACCCGTTTGGCTGCTGTTGGCTCAATAAGGCCCGACTTTATCTCTGTCAGTATCTCACAGCTTGTTGCTCCAAAACAAAGTGAGCCAGTTGAATTAAACACTCCTCCCTGTGACATTTGACCAACGGCTGCCTCTGATATTTAGTGCTCAAAGGCACGCTGCAATCCCTCCTCCTCGGCCAAACGTTATCTATGAGCTGAAGCAACGTGACATATTAAAGATGGGAAAATGTTTCTGCACAATAAACGTGCTGACGTGAAGAGACCTCCTTAAAGTGTCAGTTTTTGCAGATTTATAAACTTTAGTTTAATGTCAGGAGTTAAAACACGTAAATGTGAGATTATGAGTTATGGAGCGGACATATTTCAGGCCTGCTTCTTGTTCTTAGAAAGGCCATTCAGCTGCTCCGGATTACATCAAAGTTCATATGAAACAGGCTGCAGGATTAGGAGAACAGCCCGGAAAGCCTTCCACTCTGATATGTATTAAACTAAGAGCATTACTCGTGACCCGCAGGTCCCATTTCCAGTGTGCTGATACACAAACTGGGCTGCCGGGAGACGGTCATTTTGGGCGGAGTCCTGAGTGGCGTGGGAATGGCCGTCAGCTCGTTTACCCGCTCCATCACCGAACTTTACATCACGGCTGGAGTTATTACAGGTCAGCTAACACACTGCAGGTTCATCATTCCAGCTGTTGGTTTACACAACGATTCACCTCCACCATGGGGAGAAAGTAGGGATGCACGATATTATCGGCATGGTATCGGTATCAGACGATTTTAGCGATAATGTTAAATATCGGACATTCCATCAAAATAACTCACCGATATAAAAGGCACTGTTTATATATATATATATATATATATAAAAACATAGGGTTCTGTAATTGTATGACAACCCAGTGACAAGGATGCCTGCGGTGCCAGCACAACATTATGACATCACACGCACCGTTGAGTTTGGATTTGTGAAAATTTACACTGTTCGAGTGTTGTCATTGTGTTAGAGAGAGTAAATA